AGCGGTATATAAGTCTAACTGCTATTGCTATTGCTAGAGTGATTTGATTGTTTTAATGAGCCAAGTTTGGCCACACATTCTACTAAGATAAACATTTTCTTTTTAGGAGTGTGCAAAGCATTCAATGGATCATGGTGCAAACCAAGCAACCTTCCCTGAAGCCTTAGAACATCACTTCCTCCAAAAGGGATAATATAGGGTCATGGTGGTGCAGTGGTTAGAATGCAGTACTGCAGTTCAATTCTCACTGGCTCATGGTTGACTCCGAAGTCGGTAAAATGAGGACCCAGATTGTTGTGGGGGATAGGCTGAGTCTGTAAACCGCTTAGAGCCGGCTGTAAAGCACTGTGAAGCGGTATATAAGTCTCAGTGCTGAGTGCTATTGCTATAGCTGTTTCAATCTGATCAAATACATGTGTGCACAGCTGCTTCATTTTGCTAGCCATTTCAGAGGAAGCACCATTTCTACGTGCACCCATAAATCCAGGCAATTAGGGACAGTCTTCCAAACAGCAATCCAAGCCTTCCAAAAAAATAGGGTTATTTTAAGGCTTTGATGGGGTTTGCTTCTCTAAAGCCGATGTATTTCATTGAAACATCCCTTTGAATGCTTTGCAACTCTAGCTTTTATTCATTGTTCATTTTTAACATTAAGTATGAAAGAGGAATATGAAGAGGGATAAAAGGGGGCAAAAAAATCAAGGTGAATTTCTGTACCGTTCAATCAGTCTTACATATATATTATGCACAAATGTTTTCTTTACATTTAGGTGAATTTAATGAAACTTTAAAAGAAGAAACGACATTCAGAAAATAATTCATATAGAATTCATCAACATATATTCAGATCAAATTTCTAAATAGTCCCCCTAGTATTATCTTGATCAAACAAGGAGCTAAGTGAGTAAAAGCTCTCTTTTACCTACGATAAACTTCTATCACCAGGCTTATAAACAGCACAGTTATTTATTATAGATCTCATCCATCCACTGAGCCGTTAACCTTTTACTGCACCATCTACTATGATGAATGAATGGCTGGAGCTAAGTGATTTTGTTTTTATACCAGCAGATGAATCAATTGCCCCTTGAGATATTTGGAGGGGGCACACAGCACTAAAATATGTACAAACATATGCACACTACTGAAAAGAAAAAGGGGGAAACTAAGCCATCTATGATTCTAGTTAATAAATTCAATTCAGTAAGAATTCATTCAAGGTCAGGATAATTTTATTTTTAAAAAGTCTACAATTATTCCACAAAGTGAAGAGGCTTCGCTTGCCTGTCCCTACAATCTTGATTTGTATCCCAAAGATTATCACAGTAAAAATGTAATTTAACTACCTTTACCTTGTACAAAAAAAACGTATCTTCTGAAACAATATAGAAATACTGACAGATCAGTCACAAGCATCTGCGTAAGTTTTCCAATGAGCAATAATCCCAAATTTTCAACTTTTGTTTTAAAAGAGCAGGTGTCAGTCATGACGAGGTGTGTTTTGCACCAGTTGTACCATTACTTGTATCATGGGAATCTGTGCATGGTCATTCATGCCCTAGTCATCTCTTAGATGGATAACAGGACCTTGTTCTACTTGGAGCTACCCTTGAAGAGTATTTGGAATCTGAAGCAGGTGCAGAATGCAGCAGTGCACACATTCCTGGAAGCCCCTAGGGCTGCCCCTATAATACCGCTATTGCATGAGCTGCAATGGTTTCCAGTTTGCTTCCAGAACCAATTCAATGTGTTGGTTGCTACCTTTAAAGCCGTACATGGCATGGGTCCACGGTATGTGAGGACTGCCTTTCCCTAACTAGCTTTCCCCACTTGCGCCAGCTCTAAAGGCCTGCTACAGATCCTCTACACTAAGGAATTCCAGAAGATGGGTTCAAGAAGAAGAGCCTTTTCTACTCTGACCCCCATCCTTTTGGAATACTCTACTACTGGAATTGAGAACTGCTCTCACTCTTTTGCCCCTACGGAAGGTTATTAAGATTTAGCTTTGCCAGTTGACCAGGGACCTCAATTGGGACCCACATCGCTGGAGGTGGGACCCATTAGGTTGTCCCATAATCGCTATGATTAGGTAGAAGTGCATCTACCCAAAATTTTAAAAAAGATTGAGAAGACCACACTGGCATTTTAACCAGCTCTGTTATTTCATTTCTGAAGATCAAAAAACTATCCTACCAATGTAGATAAAGTTCATCATTAGTTTACAATGTTGCCCAAAATGGCACAATACTTGAGAAACTACTAGAAATTCTAGAATTCTTGTGATCATCTGGAGTTGCAGATGACAATTCTATGAACTAGTCTAATTCTTCTACCTAAACACTGTTCTGCCACAGAACTGCCTTAATAAAAGCCAATAAAAAGAGCAAATTTTACTTGCCAAATGAAGACATCTACAACAATGTAGCTAGTCTAACCACAGGGACTTTACAATAACAGCGAATCCCAAAAAACCCATTTACTCGCCTATCTGATAGAATCATGATGCCAAATGGGGCTTGGAATTCAACATAGAAGACCTTCCTTGAAACAGGACCAGAAGATCAGCATATATCAAATCTGTAACATGAATAGTATGGTCTGCTCTTCTAGGCTGTTACTTACATTCTTATTTAATCTGACTCAATATTCTTACATACGGCCACAGTAAGTTCCTTGGCATAAACAGAGTTCTTAATTAAAATGTGCCTTCTCCATTTACATTTTAAGTTGATATATGTGTGTATCTATGTATGGAAATTAGAGAAATAAGCTATATTTCAGTTATCTTTAGTAAATGCTTATTAATGAACAGGCAAAGGTCAGAAACTCATTGTATTCTCATCTTTCTGCTTTACTTGACCTCTTCAAATGCCAGATGAGATAAATACTATATATTTCTAGGCAGTGGTGGGATTCAAAAATTTTTATTAACGGTTCTGTGGGCATGGCTTGGTGGGCATGGCAGGGAAAGGTTACCGCAAAATTCCCATTTCCTCCCAATCAGCTGGGACTCGGGAGGCAGAAAATAGATGGGATGGGGCCAGTCAGAGGTGGTATTTACCGGTTCTCCAAACTACTCAAAATTTCTGCTACCGGTTCTCCAGAACTGGTCAGAACCTGCTGAATACCACCTCTGCTTCTAAGGCATTGTTTTATGCCCTAGAAGTATATAGTGTTTATCTCATCTGGCATTCTTTTAAGTATTTCTAAGCCTCTAAAGTTTCATGGGAAAGGAGGATGTATAGGAAATAAGATGCTCCTTTCTCTTGACTTCACCAAATCAGCTGCAGCAGGCAGCAGGGAACATCGTTATATTAGAAGGTTAGAAACACTTACTACAGGTGGTTCTCAACTTACAACTGCAATTGGGACCAGAGTTTCCACTGCTAAACAGAGAGGTTGTCAAGTGAATAGCACCCGATTTTGCAACCTTTTGCCCTAGTTGTTAATTAAATTGCTGCAGTTGTTAAGTGACACATGAAGTCATTAAGCAAATCTGTCTTCCCCTATTGACTTTGCTTGCCAGAAGATGGCTAGGAAGGTCTCAAATGGGGATTTCATGGCCCCTGGACACTGCAAACATATAAAATACACGCTGGCTGCCAAGTGCCTGAATTTCAACCAGTGACCACAGGGATGCTGCAGTGGTCATAAGTGCAAGGATCAGTTGTGTCACTTTTTTCAAAGCTGTTGTAACTTCAAATGATTGCTAAACAAATGGTTATAAGCTTGCTTGCTTCTGTGCATGCACAGTGCATTACGTTGGGGCGGAGGGGGAGCCTCCCACAGCTGCCGCTACCGGTTCACCCAAACCGGAGAGAACCAGCTGAATACCATCTCTGGTTGTAAGTCAAGGATTAGCTATAATGACCAAGTGAAATTGAAAGTGTAATTATTTATGGGAAGACTGAGAACTGTTCTCCTAAATAGTAAATTATGCAAATATAATTACAAATGACTGAAAGGCAGAAGCCAATGAGACTTTACCATTTTTAATGCAAAATTAAGTTTCTCTTTCCCCATACAATGCTTTCCTGTTCATTGTTGTATAAAATACATGGCTTTGTCTTGTTGCCTGAATAAAATGTGCTTGATTGCTTCTCTCTTCTCGTACTTAGCCACAAACAGTCAGAAACTCATACACAGCGAAGTACAGCATTGATGTTTCATAGATTAATTTTTCATCCGTGCCAGATTTCCTTTGGGAGAAAACAGTTCTGATAGTTCTTTTATTTCATTCCACATGCAACAAAATATACTACATTCTAGAGCTGTGAGGTGCTCCAATTTTAAAGGAAGAAGGTGCTTCACAGCATACATGGGGCATTTAAAGCAACTGCATCTTTTTCTGGGATTGTGCAGCTTCCGTCTGTAATAGCATCATAGCTCAGAGAAAAGATATGATGAGTTGTTATTGGGGGTGATAAGCATAACCCTATGTACTCCAAAGTACTGGATTCTCTTGGAATCCAAACTGTTGCAGAGTCCTAATACAAGTAAAACCTTGAGAAGTCCTCCAGTGGAAAATGTCCCGATTTAGCCAGTAAAAAAGCATCATCAAGTGAATACTCCAATCACAGGGAAGAAAAGGCTTTCATTGGATCTCCATGCATAGCTGTGGTGGTGCAGTGGTTAGAGTGCAGTACTGCAGGCTACTTCTGTTGATCACCAGCTGCCAGAAGTTTGGCAGATCGACTCTCACCAGGCTCAAGGTTGACTCAGCCTTCCATCCTTCCAAGGTGAGTAAAATGAGGACCCAGATTGCTGGGGGCAATAGGCTGACTTTGTAAACTGCTTAGAGAGGGCTGTAAGGAACTGTGAAGCAGTATATATAAGTCTAAATGCTATTCATGATTGTACCTCTGGTTCATAGCACTTATTTTAACCATGGTTGATTCTATGTATGTACTAGAACCAAAAATGTCTAAGCATTCTTATAATCTGAAAATTATTTTTTTATCCAACATGGAAAAATAGTTTTTTTTTAAAATGATACTTACAAATACACTAGAAAACAAATCCAGGCACCCAGAAGTCACTGCAAGTTTCTTTCGAATTCATGAAACTAATCTGCAGGGTAAGGGGGGAAAAAACAAAAGAAAGAACAGTTAAAGCCAAGAGTAAGTTTATAAAAACCAGTTTTCTAAATAAATATGCAAAGTTTCATAGCCTGCAAAAAAGATGTATTAAATCTGCTGGAATTTAGAGAAAAACACTAGAGAGACAAATTTCGATAATGAGGGCAGAAAAATGCTTTCCTTGTGTAACAGGTCATGTGGTTTCTATAAAGAAGGGGCAGAATCACTACATTACCAGCCTTTTAGCTCCAATTCTAGATTAAGCTAAGTGCAAGGTTGCTCAAACTACTCACTGTTGCTCCCTCACATGTAACGGATTTTCAAATCATAAGGTAAAAGTAAAGGTTCCCCTCGCATATACATGTTAGTCATTCCCGACTCTAGGGGGCAGTGCTCATTTCCATTTCTAAGCTGAAGAGCCAGCATTGTCTGATGACAATTCCGTGCTCATGTGACCAGCATGATTAAATGCCGAAGGCACACGTAACGCTGTTACCTTCCCACCAAAGGTGGTCCCTATTTTTCGCTTGCATTTTTACATGCTTTTGAACTGCTAGGTTGCAGAAGCTGGGACAAATAACAGGAACTCACTCCATTACACTGCGCTAGGGATTCAAACCGCCAAACTGCCGACCTTTCTGATCAAGAAACTCCGCGTCTTAGCCACTGAGCCACCGTGTCCCCACTTTCCAATCATAACAGGATCAATTAGACTAGGAACTAGGACTGTGAGTTCTAGTCTGCTTTAGGCACTGAAAGCAGGTTACATAACTTTGGGCCAGTCACTCTCTCTCTCAGCCCAACAAACTTCACAGGGTTGTTGTTGTGGGAAAAACAAGAGGTAGAAGGAGTATTAGGTACATTCACTGCCTTCAGTTATTTATTAATAATAAAGGTGGGATAAAATAAATAAATAAATAAAAATAATCCATTAAAATCTTTGTTTCTCTTGTAGTAATCTGCAATGTACTTTTCAGATGATTTAGGAAAATATAGATATTTCACTATTATCTTTCTATACAGCAAACCTATCCATGAGATATTTATAACTATATACATAAATATATATACTAGCTAGACTCTTGATTCTAGGCAGCTTGCAATCATAAATAGCAAATGTTCAAATCCAAAACAAGTTATACTATCAATGCCTTCCTACCACTGTCTAACTAATTCAAATTCTCATGTGGCAAAAAGCACAGTTTTACATTCTTCCTAAAGTTTACAGTTGCCACCCCTCAGGGTCAAGTGAGACCCTTCTCTCTCACACTGACTTCAAAAATGGGAGATGGTATAACTCCAAGGGTACTTTTTCAAACGACAACTGTTTTTTTCCTTGAAAATGTTTCACTTCTCATTCAAGACGCTTCTTGGGAAACTAAACATTTTCAAGGAAAAAAACCCAAGAAGGTCCAATTGCCGTTTGGAAAAACATTTTTGGGAGAATCATGACCTGGATGACTGAGAATCTCAATAGAAGAGATTATATAATATATTAGGTGGGTGGAAGCCATTTAAGCATGTTGAAAATAAGTGCTGTTAAGAGTTTTTTTAAACTTTTGGGGGGTTTTGAACCCTGCTACTGGGTGAGAACCAGAAGTGGTATTCAACAGGTTCTGACCAGTTCTGGAGAACCGGTAGCGGAAATTTTGAGTAGTTTGGAGAACTGGTAAATACCATCTCTGACTGGCCCCGCCCCATCTATTCCCTGCCTCCCATGTCCCAGATGATTGGGAGGGAATTGGGATTTTGCAGTAACCTTTCCCTGCCACGCCCACCAACCCACGCCCACCAAGATGCCCATCAAGCCATGCCTTCAGTCCCAATAGTAAAAAGTTTTGAATCCCACCACTGGTGAGAATATCTGATAATTCAGAGTGAAGTGTCATCAATATGCCCATAATACCTAGACTCTGGTCTTGCCGTGATGTTGTGGAGTCTCGGTGTCTGGAGCCTGTGGGAGTCGGGATGGGGAACATCATCTATAGATATCTTGCTATATCCTAGCAAGACCAAGGGACTTCAGGTTTTAGGGTCCCTATGTTCTATCCCAAACAGAAACTGTGTCCAACTGTGTCAAAGAGCAGGTGGCAGCCAAGGCTAGGAGAATGTAGGTATATGTTGTGTATCCATTGTGCCTATTCTTGGACCTAGAAGCCCTGTTCACAGTCATCATGCCTTTACCACCTCCCAATCTGCAAATCTACATAGGCTGCCCTCGAAGAGCATTTGGAAGCTTCAGCTGATGCAGAAGGCAGCAGGGCAGGTAGTTATGGACACTTTTCATTCAGCTCATGTGACATTTTTGCTCTACATACTACATGGGTTCCCTGTATGCTTCCAGGTTCATTTCAAGATGTTGGTAGTGAGATATAGGCCCCTCATGGCATGGGGCCAGGTTACTTGCAGTTCTGTTTTTCCCAGCTATATCTCCTTACCCTGTGAGATCTGGTAGGAATGGAATGCTCTGAGCCCCTTCCATTAGGCAGTGTCATCTGGCGGAAATCTTTTCTGTACGTTGGTTGGCCTCTGGAACATTATTCCCCAGAGATTAGACTCCCACCCGACATTCATAATCTTATGTTGTTGATTATGTTGTCTACTTTTAGCTTAGCTTCTATGTTTGTCATTTATTATTTTGCTCTTTTTATCTTGTTTTTATTTCCTGTTAACTGCCCAGAGTTAAATGTTTGAGATGGGTGGCCATATAAATTGAATAAACAATAATTTAAATACTTAGACTCTTCAACATTCATATTACTAATAATAATTCTAATTAATACAATTAATCCATTAATGACCTAATGAATATAACAACAGTATAAAAAAAACACAATGTTGTAATTTTTGGTAGGACAAATGTGTCAGAGGTGCAAGTTTGAAGTGTTTTGGCTTAATTATTTGTGGTCTTGGCCTGACTATAGAAAGTTATATTAATACAATGTGGTCAGTATTAAACCTCATTCCATTTTTTTTCTTCAAAAATGTCTCTGATTTCTGTCTAAAAAGGTAACAGATGCAACTCCAAGCCGCAGGTTTCCCTTATAGAATTGTTTTTTTCTTGCACAATGAGTCACTTTATGCCTCTAAATATCCTAGTTTCCTCTCTACAGAACTCTTGTCTGTTAGATGGTAGTTTCACAAGAGTTTATTTTTTATTGTTTGGTCTACATGCAGCTGTTTTAGTTTCTGAGACAACAAAAAGCACTTTGTTAAAAGCCCCTTGATTCTTTCCAAGACATGAGCCTGGATACCCGTAATATTATTCTGAAAATTGAAATGAATATCAGGCCTTGCTAGGATTGAAAACATTTACTATACCACTGAATTGTTCACAAGTGATTATATTAAAGATGGAATTGCATCCAAATATGTATTCATTTTTTAGAGTTTTGAGGCATAGCATAAAACTGCAAGTGTGACAGGTTCTTGCCCAAAGGTTTTCTGAAATTCAAAATCATTATTTCAGAAAGATTATTTTGAAGATTGTAATCAAAGCAATATTATCCCAACTCATTTTACTATACAATATGAGATTGGGGTCACTGTGACAATAAAATGCAAAGTTATACAAATATGGAGTTGTATTCTAATTCTATTTTAAAAATGTTTCAGTGGCATATTAATATCTTTTAATTTTCATTTTTTGCAAAATAAATGCCATGTAGGAACAATAATATTTTTCTGTCACATTCTTTTCTACTACCATATCATAAAAAACACACACAAAATATGCCCTGTATTTTTGATTTGTAAAATATAGTCAAAAGCAAAAAAAAAAAACTCAAGCAGTTTAATACTGTGGAACATTATTGTGTTCCAATATTATTACACGATACTGAATGGTTTGGGGCGGGGGTTGTCTAAATTCTTAAATTTCCAATCATTAATTTATGAGCAAACATGAATTCATTTTTAAGGAATCGCATCTTTTAGAAGAATTGCTTCATCTGATATTCCTGAAATTGTTTACTAAATTTTATCATGATACTCATAATATTATTATAATGGGAAAACAATCTAGCCTTCCCTTTTTCTTATTATGAAATATTGACTCTGATATAGAGTCAAATCATGGTTTAATATTATTTGAATGAACCATGAAGAGGCAATACATTCTCTCATGGGAAAATATGATAAATATACTGATTCTGGTTGATTGGTTAGTTATGATTTGAGCAAAACAAAGATTGATACATTTACATACAACAGCAAAAAAAAATTATTTTACAAAATCTGAAATACATTAGAAAGCGGCAGCACATAAGGAATTTCTGAGCTACTTTTATAGGCCTGGGAAAAATATATACTATCTATAACTCAATATAGAATCAACTAATCTCGTTTGCTATCATCAAAATTATGCTATTATATAAATCTGCAACCAGACCTGAATCTCATTATCAGATGATTTACACCATTACTGTGCTTTGGAGACACCAATTAAACAAGGACAGCAGTTCGTAAGGTCACAGCTAATTAATCCGAAAAAGTATAAATACACTTTAATATACACCGCTTCATGTAGAGAATTTGGGAACAAAGCATCAACATCTCATAATGGGCTACACAATTTAGTATGAAGGTTAAATACACATAGACACTTAACTCAGCCTCTATGTTCAAATATATATTTTATTGCATATAATTTTTGGAAAGTAAATGGGGAAGGATAGGCCATCAAAAAGAACAACATTGGGAAGATTTGCATCTGAAAGCTTTGATGCTTAGGGCAAAATGCAAGTAAGCGACAAGACAAGAAAGAGCGAACCATGTCCAGTGATCCTGAGCAAATTAAAGCCTCCTGTTGTTCAGATAACACCTCAGAACGGGGACTCTGCTTGAGGCTGCATCATTACCGAAGCAGTCAGGCAGAGAAGCTGAAGAACTAAATATATAAGGCTTAGTGTGTTCAACATACTTTCATCCAAGCAACATCCTAAAATATCTCTTTTTTCAGCAAATGTTTTTCAGGCTCTGTCTGACACAACA